CACAAAGGTTCACTTACTTGGAGCTACATGCTTATCAACAGCCACTTTTCTTTTCTTTGTAATAGCCATAGCTGGGGGTTAAATTTTCATTAGAAATCAGCCCAGGCCCCACACACCACCCTCTCCCTGCCAGCCTTGGGGAGAGCTTCCCAGGCCTCTCAATCAGGGCCCACAACTGCCAGTCAGACATATCCAATCAATTGATGCTATTCCTTCTGCCAGACCTGCCCAGCGGAATGCTGAAGCACATGATCAGCCTCAGATCAGAATGGGAGGGAGAAGTCTGAAGTGCGGTCTCAGTCTTCCATTTCCAAGAGGTGATGTTCAAAAACTTAGTAACGGGTATAGCAGGAGGACCAACCAATCTATATAGATGGCAGCTATGCTGGAACTAGGTTCGAAGGTCCCCTGCTGTTACAGGTGTTAACCATTAGGTGCTGACTTGTTGGGGGGATGTAGGGAGGCTTGAGGGAGGGGCAGGAGCCCCCAGGGCAGTGGCTCCTGGGAAATAACAACCATTGTGACTGTATGACAGTGTGCTAGTTAAAAAGCAACCTTGCCCATATGTAAGCTGAGGCATCAAAAAGCCATGAGATGGAAAAACATCCTAGAAGGATACAAAATACCAAAACCGAATTAAAAGGAAATAAAAAAAATCTGAATAGAACCATAACAAGTAAATAATTTAACAATTTAAAATATTTACACAAAGCTAAGCCCAGGCCAAGATGGCTTCAGTGGTAGGGGCGCCTGGGTGGCTCAGTCGTTAAGTGTCTGCCTTCGGCTCAGGTCATGATCCCGGGGTCCTGGTATTGGGTCCCACATCAGGCTCCCTGCTCGGTGGGAAGCCTGCTTCTCCCACTCCCCCTGCTTGTGTTCCCTCTCTCTCTGTGTCTCTCTGTCAAATAAATAAATAAAATCTTTATTAAAAAAAAAAAGATGGCTTCAGTGATAAATTCTACTAAATCTTTAAAGAATTAATATGAATCTTTTGCAAACTCTATCTGAAAATAGAGGAGGGAATCCCTTCCAACTCATTCTGTGAGGCCAATATTATCCTGATACCAAAGCCAGACAAAGATGTAATAACACAATAAACCAATATCTTTATGACTGTAAACACAAAAAGTCCTCAACAAAATATTAGAAAACCAAATCAAGCAACATATAAAAAGGATTACACATTATGACCAAGGGGGATTTATCCCACGAATGTAAAGTCGGTTTAACATCTGAAATCACTAATGTAATACACCATATTAACAGAAGAGAGGGCAAAAACTGCATGATCATTTTAATAAACGCAGAAAAAAACATATGGCAAAATCCAACACCTACTCATGATAAAACTTCCTTAACCTGATAAGGGGCTAATAAAAACTTTAAAAAAACCTAATGCTAACATCACACTTAATGGTGTATGTTTGAATGCTTCTCTTTTAAGACTGAAAACAAGGCAAGGATGTTTGCCGTCACCACTTGTATTTAAGACTATAATGAATATTCTAGTCAGTGTAATAAAGCAGGAAAAAGAAATAAAAGGCATGCAGATTAGAAAGGAAGAAATAAAATTTTATTATTGGCATGATTTTATATGTAGAAAATTTTAAGAGAGACACCACACACACACACAAACACAGACCCCAAAACAAAATGAAAACAACAGCAAAATCCTACTAGAACTATTAAGCAATTTCAGCAAGGTCACAGGATACAAAATAAACAAAAATTGAATATCTATCAATCTGAAAATGAAATTAAGAAAACATTTCCATTCACAGTCGCATCAAAAAGAATAAAATACTTAGGAATACATTTCACAAAAGATGTACAAAACTTTTACACTGAAAATTATATAACATTGCTGAAAGAAATCAAAGGAGACCTGAATGAGATACATTCTATGTTCATGGATTAGAAGCCTTAATATTATTAAGATAGCAATACCCCCAAGTTGATCTATAGATTTTATATAACCCCTATCAAAATCCCAGCTGCCTTTTTTTTTTTTTTTTTTGCAGAATTAGACCTTAAATGTATATGGAACTGTAAAAGACCTAGAATAGTTAAAACATTCTGAAAAAGAACGAAGCTGGAGGACTCACACTTCCCATTTTTAAAACTTACTACAAAGCTACAGTAATCAAAATAGTGTGGTACTGGCGTAAGGACTAACAAACAGATTAATGGAATAGGATTGAGAGTCCAGAAATAAACCTCTACATTTATAGTCAATTATTTTTTGACAAGAGTACCAGGTAATTCAATGGGGACAGAATAGTCCTTTTAATAAATGATGTTGGAACAACTGGATAGGTGCATGCAAATTAACAAAGTTGGGCCCCTACCTCACACCATATGCAAAAATGAACTCCAACTGGATTAAAGACCTAAAAGTAAGAGCTAAAACTGTAAATCTCTTAGGAAACAAAGGGCTATGTATGAGCTTGGGTTAGACAAAGATTTCTTATGTACAATACCAAAGGCACAACTGATAAAAGAAAAAGATAGATAAACTGGACTTCATCAAAATTAAAAACTTTTGTTGTTTCAAAAGACACCATCATGAAAGTTAAAACAACTCACAAAATAGGAGAATATATTTGCAAATATTTGTAGATATAGCACATATTTGATAATGGGATTTCAATGTAAAATATGTAACAAACACAATTCAATAAGACAAATAACCCAAGTAAACAATAGGCAAAAGATTTGAAAAGACAATTTACCAAAGATATATGAATGACTAATAAGCTCATGAAATGTTCAAAATCACTAGTCATTAGGAAAATGAAAATCAAAACTATAATGAGAACTACTTCACACCCACCAGAATGACTGTAATCAAAGAGACAGACAATAAGAAGCACTGGCAAGGATGTAGCAAAACTGGACCCCTCAAACGCCACTCGTGGAAAGTAAAATTGTACAGTCACTTTAGAATGAGTAATTCCTCACAAAGTCAAACATACATACAATTACCCATAAATCAGCAATTCCATGCCTAGGTACATACCCAAGAGACTGAAAACACCTGATCACACAAAGACTTGTACACATCTTCATAGAAGCATTATTTTTTTTTTTAAAGATTTATTTATTTATTTGAGAGAGTGAGAATGAGAGAGAGAGAGTACATGGGAAGGGGGAGGGTTAGAGGGAGAATCAGGCACCTCGCTGAGCAGGGAGCCCGATGCGGGACTCGATCCTGGGACTCCAGGATCATGACCTGAGCTGAAGGCAGTCGCTTAACCAACTGAGCCACCCAGGTGCCCCGAAGCATTATTTATAATAGCTAAAAACTGAAAGCAATCCAAATGTCCATCAACCGGTGAATGGATAAACAAAATGTGGTATATTGTACATACGGCACAATGTTATTTGGCAGTGAAAAGGAATGTACTGGTACAAGCTACAACATGGATAAACTTTAAAAACTTTATGCTGTGTGAAAGCCAGATGCAAAGACCACATATTGTATGATGCCATTTACATTAAATGTCCAGAAAAGGCAAACCTATAGAAACAAAGTTTAATAGTGATTGCCTGGGCCTGGGTAGGAATAGGGAGTGCCTGCAAATGGGCACAAAGAATCTTTTTAGAGTGATGCAAATTTTCTAAAATTCGAATGTGGTAATACTTGCCCAACTTTGTAAATTTTCTAAAAAATCATTGAGTTGTAGCCTTAAAATGAGTGAATTTTATGGTATGTAAATAACACCTCACTAAAGCTATTAAAAATAGCTATGAAACCACAATGCAGTTTTATGTGTAATTCTGGCTTTTAAATATCTATGACTATAAGACTTTTTATTTATTTATTTATTATTTATTTTATTATTTTTCTTAAAGATTTTATTTATTCATTTGAGAGAGTGAGAGAGAGAGAGAGAATGAGTACGGGAGGGGCAGAGGGAGAAGGAAAAGCGACAACCTGCTGAGCAGGGAGCCCCACAAAGGCCTCCACCCCACGACCCATGAGATCATGACCTGAGCCAAAGGCAGGCGCTTAACTGAATGAACCACCCAGGCGCCCCTATAAGATTTTTCTAAGTTAGGTCAGCCCCAATTCCCAAAGATAATGTGGCTGGGCCTCCCAAATCTTGAAAACCAATCCTAAATTAATATTATGGTTCTATGAATAAATAGATCAAATGCATTAGTGCCTGGCACCTATTGGGCCTCAATAAATGTTTACTGGATGAACAATTAAACAATCTTCCTGGTGTGATTTTTCTCTCCAAATACCTCATACACCTGATACCTGAAACTCAGTTACTTAGGACAATTTTTTTTTAAACTAAAGAAAACTTAAATAAATGCAATGTCCCCAGAGGAAAACCTGCTAACAGTGGGTTGGGCAGGATTTGATGGGCTAAAATGAGGTAACATATTAACTCCTTCATGCTACTGACTCACTTGGTTTAGGAGTAGGGCTTGGGGAGTGGGAATGTGTGATTCACAGAGTGACTCAGAGATCCAAGCTGACCAAGCTTTAACAAACAGGAGTCACAGCAGACCAAGAGATTGGAAATCTGTGGATGATCTTTTCACCACCATTGGCCAGAAGTGACAGAGGCCACCTGTGCTAACATTTCTTTTTTTCTCTGCACTGCAGAGGGCTAGGATATACAGGGGAATAAAGAGATATTTGAGTAGATTTGATGAGCACTGCAGCCCACCACATCAGTCATCTGCAGCAGGGGACCCTGTCTCAGAGTTATTTGCCAGAACCAAAGATTCCTCCTTCTGGGTCCACCTAAGTAAGAACCACTGATCAACAACTTAGGATCCTTTGAAGCAAGTGTTGAGTCAGGAGACAAACACCCTGCTTCGTGTCTCTGAAGCACTCTGCTTTTTTTGGGGGGGCGGGGAGCTAATCCTTGATTCACTTTTATTTACTCAACACTAAGGAAAGTATCTGGTACATGGTGGCAACTCACTGAGTGTATGTAATTTAGTTTCATCTCAGAGAAACAGGTCAAGTGAAAGCCTACCGTCCGAGTAAGAACTCCTCCCATCCTCCCATAGTGTTCTTCAATCATAAGGTTGTTTTTTTGCTTTTTTTGTTGTTGTTGTTGAAATTCCTTCAATTCAGTTAGATAGAACCAAGAAACACACTTAAATCCTGAGGCAAAAGGAGCAAGAACGGATCCAAGGTAAATAAATAACAATCATGGTTACTGTTAACTGCACCACCACTACCACCACACTTAGTAAAATTTGTATTTGTACCACTAAACAAAAAAAGAAGCTCAATGCTTTAGAAGAATACAAGGCAATGCCTTAACATTTGTTAGTCCACCACGGGAAAGTGAAGTTACTTGGATAAAATCTCTTATGAGTCTGCGACCAATCTGTACTTCATTATTTACAGTATTTAATCTTTTAATTTCCAGTCTCTGTTCTTGGAACCACCTTAATTTACATTATCAGTTTAATCTTTTCCCATTACTACTTTCATTAGGTCTCACTCCTGCTGAAAACCCAGGACCAAACCCTTTAATTCTGGCAATTTTGACTCTTCATGTAACTTCTTACGTCCTTTTTGCCTTAAAAAACAACAACAAACCAAGGGCCCAAATGAAGCCTGTGCTGCAGTCTGAGCCAATTATTTTTTAAGCTTGCACATATTTGCTAACAACTCATCCATTACCTGGGATGCCACTTACCTTCTTTTTGATCTACTGAAATTTTGCCTATTGCTCAGGACTGAATTGGTCGTAAGCTCACTGTGAAGCTCGCCCTGAATAGTTCAGCTCACACTGATCTACACTCTTGAAGCACCTGTGGTCTACAATAGGCATCTATGCATCAAGAACTGTCCAGAAGGGGCGCCTGGGGGCTCAGTCGGTTAAGCAACTGCCTTCGGCTCAAGTCGTGATCCTGGAGTCCAGGGATGGAGTCCCACGTTGGGCTCCCTGTTGGGTGGGGAGCCTGCTTCTCCCTCTGGCCGTCCCCCCTCTCATTCTCTCTCTCTCAAATAAATACTTAAAAAAAACAAAAAAACTGTCCAGAAGTTTTGACTTAAATGTTTTGAGTCTCGTTTTCCCAGCTAGAGTATGAGCTTGAGGGACTTAATTTTATTATTTTATATCCCCATATAACAGAAGTCATTCAAGAAATATTTATTGCATACCTACTATAAGTTATGCCCTGTAGAGATATAGATGTGCCACTAAGATTATTTGTTAGTTGAATCAATACCTGAAGAATCTTTAAGATGCTGTATTTTGGAATTTTATATTGGGCCGAGTCCTAAAAAAGTATTATGTTGCTATTTCAAATATAAGTTATTCTTGTTTATCAGTATTTTCCTGAACTTTCATGTTTTAGTTTTAATGAAAATCTCATTTTGAAAATATAAATGTTGGATTTCTTTTTTGAGAATTTATCCTTACGTTAATTACCTACTGATTCTGCTTCATATAACAATATTATGTTTTCCTTGGTCATTAGATTTGTCTCTGAATTTCCTAATCTACAAATATACAAAATTTGGATCCAAAGCTGATTCTAATGTTCTTTTCTATCTTCTGATAGATGAATTGTCTATTATGCTAGGTATAATATACAAAAAATACCCATTTTACTTAAAAATTACAATAATATTACTAAGTGTCCCTTTAAATTCGTATTAATGCAACAACAACAAACCACGGCTTTTTAGGGTATATAATAATCTATAATTATTCTTATTACCTTGTTCCCTTTACCATTCAAAAATCCACTGATTATTTGGAAATAACATTCTTCCAACCTCACCCTAAAAACACTTTCTGAAAACTCCTCTTCCTGCCACTCTTAGATTGTGCCTGTATGTTAAATTCTCCTTTGACGCTTATTCCTTCAAAACTATCGAAAAACGGGAAAAGTTTCTTTAACTCTCAAATCTCTGTGTCGTAAAATCCTTTGTTAGATTTACCCCATACGCAGGAGAGGTTCTCCGTTTCCTTTTCCAGCGAATTACACAGTTGTCTCGGCAGCCTGATGTGCCAGTTTGGTTCCCGCTGTATCAGTTTGTGATTCTTTGTACAAATTAATAACCATGAAAAAGTCTAAAGCAGGGCAGTTCCAGAGTAAATTATAGCAGTCTTTTCCCGTCAAGCAATCTGGTACTTCGCAAAACCCCAGGCGAAGCATGAATGATAGAGCATGCACCAATAGGGAGTGGAGAACAGTATTTTGTCGAAGTTTGCAACCCAATCCTGGGGAGCCAGAGGTGGGAATTTTAAAATGGGGTTGTTTTTTTTCTTGGAATTTTCTTAAAGTGGTATCGCTGCCTGTTGATGTTAAAGTTTGTCAAAGACTGCAAAATCGCTAGCTTAAAGAATTTTGAGTGACTGTTTTGAGTGAAGCAAGATGTGAAAATAGACACACATTCAAATGGCCATTCTGACACATAGAATCACGTGGCTATTTTTGTGTCAGTTTCAGGGGCGTAGAAGTCATTGTAAGATGATTCATTTTTTATGATCAAACATCAGATGTTAAATTAATGCGTTAAAGTATTTCATGTTTTTAAGAAATGAAAACTACGTGGCTAACATTGATTGCTTTAAAATTTTGTCATTCTATTGTTAATCATTTGGGGGTCACTTTCCAATATTAGGAGCAAGTTTTATCATTTGGGTCGATCCTTAACACCCTATTTTTGTTTTTACACAAACTGTAGGTTTCCTCATTATAAGCCTAGCAAAAAGTTCTTAAGTACTACAAATTCTTAGGTATTTAGAAATGTGTATCAAAGTTCTTAGAGCTACATGACATTCCCCATGCCATATACTTCAGTAACTTCTGAAGACCAGGTTTAATAAATAGGGAATTAGTATTTCATTATAACTCGTATCTTGTTTTGGAGTAGGTGTTATTCTTATTTAGTATAACTCTGCTTTTTAGATTATTCATCTCTAACAGTAATTAAATAAACCAACGGGAAACTAGTTATAAAGTCAAGGTTGCTTGACAATGCATCACTAATAAATTAACAGCAAGCTTTTCAAAGAACAATGACAGCAGTTTCATGAGAGGAAGTTTAAAAAACTCTTCATCTCAGAAAGTTGCCATCTTAACAAAATATTTAAAAAATAAAATTGTTTTTAAAATGTTCCCTAACAGGGCGCCTGGGTGGCTCAGTCGGTTAAGCGACTGCCTTCGGCTCAGGTCATGATCCTAGAGTCCCTGGATCGAGTCCCGCATCGGGCTCCCTGCTCGGCAGGGAGTCTGCTTCTCCCTCTGACCCTCCCCCCTCTCATGCTCTATCTCATTCTCTCTCAAATGAATTAAAAAAAAAAAAAATCTTTAAAATGTTCCCTAACAATGTTTGGAATTCTTTTCTTTTTACCAGTATAAAGCTCTCTTCCTTTGATGTCTCCTTCCGCTGACATAGGAATTTTCGTCTTAAAGAAGTATTTATTGACGGCCTACTCGGTCACGCTAGGAACTGAGGTAATATTTAATTTACTAAGCTGTTATTGCCCTTTTAAGCGATCGTTTCTCACAATAGACCTCAGGTATTTCAAGAGTAGAGACTAGATTACCCGCCTCATCTTTGGAACCTGTCAGCGCGCAGTGAGCCCTTAAATCCTCTGCTTAGGCTCACCACCTGATACTAACCTTGGCCATATGACATAAACCCACCAGACCTCAGCTTTTCACTCGTTAAACGAGTATAATAATAGTACCTGTGTCATGAGATTGCTGTGAGGATTTAGTGAGAATATGCACAGCTCTTAGAACGCTCCCTGGTACACAATAAGCGCTCGGGTGTTATTATTGTTGTGGTGACTCCCCAATATGTACAATGAATGAGAGCGGGAGTGCCTGAATGAATGTATGAATGAAAGAACACATCAGTTATTGGCCATTCCCGAGGTTGGAGCAGGCCAAATAGCCCCCTCTAAGAGCAAAACAAAAGCCCGCTATCAAAAGAGCAAAACTCCGGCTGCAACCGGAAGCCAATGTTAGCGGGGGGCGGGGCCAGTCTGGAGGAAGCCGCGCTCTTGGCCAATAGGCACATCGCTTTGAAAACGAACTTCTCGTCCGTGCAGTTTTGAAACCGCGAGAACAGGCACGACTTATCGCGATGCTCCGTCTTTCTCTCCGCAGCTCCCTCTGCCCCCACTCTCCGTCGTGCGGGTTCCGCCCCGTCCCGCCCCGCCCCGCCCCGCCCCTCGCCGTCCGCGCCTCGCCCCGCCCCCCCGGCTCCCCGCCCCTCCCGCAGACCCTCGGCTTGCAGTTCAGCGCCGCCTGCGCCCGAAGTGCTGGCTCCGCCGGCGCCGAGGTGAGTGCGGCCGCCTGTCGCGTCGGGTGGCTCGCGTGGCTAAGGGCCCCCCCCGGCCCGGCCCCTGGCCAGCACGACGGGTCCGGCAGAAGCGTCGGGGCAGCGGCGAGTGGTCCCTGGCCCGAGCGGGCCCGTCGCGGCCTCGGGTCGCCATAGCTGCCGGGCCCTCCCCGCCCTCCGTGGCCGGAGAATCCCGATACCGGGTCTGTGAAATCCCTGCCCCCGGGCTCGCTTCCAAACTGTAACGACCTTAGTGTTTGGTTAACTCGGGCAAAGCGGCAGGTGTTTTGCTTCAGACTTACTGAGAAAACAACCTTTTACAAATGCTTTTAGTGTACAGTTTTTAATTCTCGAATCTCCAATGTTAGGCAATTGGAGTGGGTATTCTACTGAATTAAATACGGAAGTCAGTTTGAGGGGCTTTACTTTTACACACACCTGCTTAAAATGTATGTAATTTTCTTAAGGTGGGAGGGTCTGTCTATTTGTTTTAAACAGTAAACTGGCTTGGTGTTTACATGTCAGAAAACTTATGGAGGTTCTGTTGAATATGTTTAGTTAATATTGTTAAGTATACCATTTATCTTTAACTGTAGATAAGAGGTAGCGAAGGGAATTTATGTAAGAAAATTACCCATCCTGGTAAGGGCTGTATATTGCCATTGAATGCGTTTTGGAAAACCATTAGCATTATTTATTATTGGCAGCTTTCAGATTTCATTTGTGTAGATTTTATCTCCCAAACTGCCTTGGTAGCCAGATGCATTTTAACAGGGTGTAATGATGTTTTAAAGGCAGCCCATTCCCAGCCTTCAGGATTCAGAAGAAAAACAATTAGGTTACACTAAATTCTCTTCCTGGATCTTCCATCAATGAGTGGATTTTGGATATAATTTTGCTTTGTAGTCTTACATTTGTATAAGCCTTACCTACCACTTAAATGATGATGGGGAGAAACACAGGCCCCACTGAAGTACCTGAAAGGCTATATTGTAAAGGCAGGGCACCCGCTTTGGAGTTGGTCCACCTGGGTTAGAATTCTGGCAAGTTACCCTCTGAGAAACTGCTTCCTTACCTATAAAACAGGCTAAATACTGTCTATCACAATGCAGAGTTGTACGGATTAGGGATCTTTATGGTACATAGCAAGCACTTGGGATATAGTATCTACAAGATGACCATAGATTACAGAGTGAAAAATATCTACCTTGTAGTATTACATGTCCTACTTTCATCCACTCCTCAGCTGTTTGAGGGCCTGCTTTGTGCTAGATACTGTGCACAGGCAGGTATACAAGAGTGAAGAAAGCAAGATCTCTGCCCTCAGGAGCTTACGGTCTCTTGGCTAGTTTGGCAATAGACGGGTACACCAATAAATATTTAGATTACAGATTGGGAGGAGCCCTACATATAAAAGAAATAGGTTTCTCTGAAAGAATAACAGGAGAATAGTTTCGGATAGGGAAGTGATTTTTACTTAGAAACTCAGAGTAACGGGACAGTGCTTTCCAGGCTAAATGAGAGCAGCAAGTGGTGTGAAGAGTTCGGCTCTTGAAAGAGACTGGAAAAAAGGCCTAGAAAAGCCCAGGAGCTTGATGAGAAGCCAGGGAGGGTGCTGCCCGATAAGGCTGGAGAGGTAGGTGCATGGGGCCAGATTGTGAGGAGCCCTCAGTGCCTGGTGAGAGTTTGATTTTCTAAAAAAGCTTTTGAAGGCTGTATTTAGTTGATATGTGTGCACTAGGGAGTGAGTTTACCTGAGAGAGGTATGGGATTTACTGTATTTAATTAAAGGCTCCCTGCTAACTGATTAAGGTATTAGAATATGACTAGAGTGGACACCAAGAGACCGGTAATACAGATGGCCAGGCAGGAGGTGACAGTGGCTTTTGGCTGGTGGGAAACATGTGGATGGATTTGAGATGTATTTCGGAGCTGGAAACCACCAGCTTTAAGACAAATTGGAGTGGGCAGATGAAGGACAGGATGGAATCATTCATGACTTCCAGCTCTTCGGCTTACACAGCTAGGTGGTTAGAGGTGTGTGCCATTAATTGAGATGAGAAACACTGGGGAGAATTCGGATTGGTGATGCAAATCAAAATGTGTTAAGTTTGAGGCACTTGTGAGACTTCTAACCTGCTTCAAGTTTACTACTTGAGTGAATTGTAACCCAGGAAACTTCTCTTTCCACACAGAATCATTGATATTATTTCTAGTTTAGTTCCCCTTTGCTTTACAGGTGAGAGAATTAAGATGTAGAAAGATTGAGTATGTTGCTCAAAGTCACATATGTCTCATAAAAATAGGTAGGTGTGTAGGTAGAATCAGTATGGGAAAGTTTTGAATTCTCATGTTGCATTGGGGATATTACTGACTATTCCATGTTGTCTGCTCTTTTAGATAAAATGGCAAGTACTTTCTTATTAGCTAGGAGTTGGAGTTTGGAAATAATAGAAAATAACCAAAAAAGTTATCAAAACTGCTTATCAAAAGCTTGTTACTACATTTTGCACTAACTTGGTGTTAATTCCCAGTGAAAATAGTTTTTCTTCAGAAAAAAAAAAAAATTCTCTTTGAAAGGTACTTTCTGTTGGGGAGTTTGAGAAAGGATGCCCTGGAAAATGAGAGTAGAGTCATTGAACAAAGCTCAACTTTTTAGTGTTTTCACATTTCCTTAGTATCCTGTGGAGTCCTTTGAGTCTATGTATGTAAAGAATCCAGGCTTTAAAATAACTGGACAGCCTCTTTACCCCAAGGGGGGAAAAAAAATCCTTGCTTTTATCCCTTATGAGCTCTTTGACCTTGGACAAATTATTGAAGCTCTGAGTTTGTTTCTTCTTATGTTAAGTGATTGTGAATGAAGTTTGTTTCTGCTCTGTGCCTAGTTGATAAGATGGCAAATGTTATTTCTCTTCCTACCCTGTCACTTTCAGAGCTAGGAGGGAATTTAATCTGTTCTGGGTTCTGGACTTTACCAAAAAATTGCTATCTCCATTGTTTTTATGTTAGGCAACTGAGGCCTGGAAAGATTGTAATAATACAAGGTTCTTATTTCCTAGTCAGTATTTCTTCTTCCATTGAAATAATAAAACCATATGTTCTTGGACATGCTTCTTTACTACTTCTGATAATCTACAAAGCTAGGAAGAAAGAAAAAAAAAAACCAAAGAGATAAAAGAAAGAGAAAATTAGAATATAGGACAATATACTAAGAAATGAAGAAAATGAAGCTGTCAGTGTGATCTAGATATATTTTATATGTGTTTATCAATATTTTTGAAATACCTTAAGCTAAACATAAAATGAGGTAGTTCAAGAAGGAAATGGGTTTGCTATATCTGATTTTTCAGCTTGCTTTGGTTGCAGGTTATGAAACTGGTCTGTGTTCTGTTCGGCATTCCTGTCTCAAATTCAAGACCTATTTTTTTCAGTTAGGACTGTTGCTGCTAAGTGCTAAGTAAGCTTAAATAGTGAGGGCATTTTTAATAGTTGCTCATTTTAATCTAAATATGTGTGACAAACTTAGTTGTTAGAAAAGAAAAATACAGGCATTGAATGTGTAATTCTCTTTTTAATGTCTGCAAATAGCTATATGTGCTAACTGGTTTATTTGGTAATGCATATGAGCAGTATCATAATTATTCAATTTTCTTGTTCTCTTTAGAAATGGACCAATTTTGACAAGATGTAGTGCTGCAGTGTGCCTGATGGGATATATTCAGTCATGGCATCTGAACTCTGTAAGACGATCTCTGTGGCAAGGCTGGAAAAGCACAAGAATTTGTTCTTAAATTATAGGAACCTGCACCATTTTCCATTGGAGTTACTGAAAGATGAGGGACTACAGTACTTGGAGAGGCTCTATATGAAAAGGAACTCCCTTACAACCTTGGTACAGTATTATGTTGCATTTAAAAAAATCATTTATAATGTGGGCTTGACCAAGATATAGTTTACATATCCTAAGATATTCAGAGCAAGATGTACATCCCCTCTTGTTATATAAACAGGTGATAAAAATGCAAATACAGGGGGTTCTCATTAGCTGAGGATTCATTATCCAAGTCCCTGCAGTATAGGGTTGTGGGAAGAGTTGTATAGGAAAGCAAAATATTCAGTAAATGTACCACTCATAGAATTAGTCTCCATTCCAAAACCCCACTTCACTTAGCCTGTGCATCTCTCTTTGCTGTTTTTGTGTGATAAGCTTCCTAGATGATTTTTGGATGTTACCATATCCAGTGGACCAGTTAAAAAGTAAAGAAGAGAAAGGCCAACATAGATGAATGACCCTGAGTTAGAGGCATTTAAAAAGAGATGATTTGAAGATTAAAATATTAAGACAGGCATTTGGGAAGCTTGATGTAGCCTTTCTCTTTGGGGGGAAAAAAACATAACAGAAACATCCTCCCAAACCAAAAAACCTTTATGATTGCACTGTGAAAATCAAGTGATGTTGAATTGGACTATCGTCCAGTTTGTTGAAAAAATTTTTGCCACAGAGGCAACATTTGATTCACTCTTCATGTTGTAAGAATAAGCAGATAGTTATCATTATAACCTGATTTTTTATTACATATAGGACTTTATTAAATATTTTATTACATATAAGATTAAGTTTTATTACGTATCAGATTAAAAAAACTATTTAAAATTTTTTTCAAGAGAATGTGTTACTCTGGTCTTATTCCCACTCTTACTGTAAAATTTGGTCTCTGGTTTAAATGTATGTGCTTTTTGTGGTCTTTTCTGGTTATCACTTAACCTCATTTGAGTCTTACACGTGAATTCTTATTCTTACTCCTTTTATGATGACTTGTTTCTTTGTGAACAGACCTATTTTTCATTTCCTTCTCTATATTGGACCATCCCAAATATCTGAAAGTATGCCTTACTGGCTTCATTTAGATGGAGTGTTTTTGTGGAAAAGTTTTATTTAATCTATCTAAAATACCTCCAATGAGTAGAAAACATAAAATTTGTTTATCTTTGCTGTATCTGATAGTAAATGGAAATACGCCTTTCATTTTTAGTGTTTGGCATTTTGGCGTATATGTTATTTTGAGTGCCTAGTTAAGTTTTTTTAAAGTAGATTTTTCAGTTTTAAAATTCTAATTATCTTACTAATCAAACTTTAATAACACAATTATAGTAATCCTTTTAGCAAAATCATCATTGCATGAGGTGAAACCACATTTACTAAGTGTTTTTCCCCCCCCTTTGAGGAAGAAGTGTTGTGAGAAATAAAATTTGTCAAGGATTATAGCCCAGATTTTCCCTTGTTTGTTACTGATGTACAAAGGAAAAGTTGTGAGTGCATTATTTCTTAACTCTTAGTCAAAGTCCCCTGGAGTAGATAGAGTTTGTTCAAAGAAATCAACCTTTGTTTATAAAAGTTACAGTGAGCTTTTGGTTTTGTGGCACTTAGCCGCAGTTTTCAATTTATGAAAATATTCGGGTATCAGCTCTACAGTTGTAACCGATAATTCATAATGGCTCACAAGCACACACTTCAAGTTCATGCTTTGCCACCTTTTTGTCCATCAGAGATTAAATTGTTGCATATATTTACAATGATAGGTGTATGTGTTTTATTTGAATGCCTTTTAATGAGCTGGAGCATTTGGTTCATGTGTATCAAAGAGCTTTTTAATTGTAGAGGGTTGGGGCGCCTGGCTCAGTCGTTAAGCGTCTGCCTTCAGCTCAGGTCATGATCCCAGGGTCCTGGGATCGAGCCCCGCCATCGGGCTCCCTGCTCCGCGGGAAGCCTGCTTCTCCCTCTCCCACTCCCCCTGCTTGTGTTCCCTCTCTCGCTGTGTCTCTCTCTGTCAAATAAATAAATAAAAATAAAAATAAAATCTTAAATTGTAGAGGGCTATACAGGTATCAGGGTGGTAGGGCTCGTAGCAGCCCGGCCATCCCATTCCCTGACGCTACTGATACCCAGTATAGCCTAGGAGTGGCTTACCACACAGGTTTTGAAAGCAGATGAAGTAATACTTACCCTAGAGTGCTCTAAACTCGTGACTTCAGGCTTTTAGAATGTTTGCTGGTGTTATTGATAAAGTATATTTCCCAAAGAAGATTTGGTTTTTGGAGTGTGACTTAACAACTACAATATGTCCAAAGGAAAAACAAAACAAAACATGTTATTGGAAACAGATGGTATCTTAACACCATTATGAGTTAATTGGCCCCTTTTTTTTTTTTAAGGAAGCTCGGGAATCTGCCAGTAATTTCCATTTTCACATTGTTTTATTATTTATTTGTTAACATTGTTTTATTGTGTTTAAATCCTTTCTCCTCAACATTCCCCCTCCCTTCTCTCCCCACCCCTCACTCTATGAAGCCTTTCCGTGAAAAGAGAAGTCACTAATGCGCCACCTCTGCCCTTCTTCCTTTCCCCCGTCAAGGTGCTTGGCATAGCACAGTGGTTTATATTTTGCAGGATGATTGTATGTTAAATACTCAGAATTTAGAGAATGCCATATTAAAACTAAAACACAGCAAAAGCCTTTTTTATACATTTAAAAGATTAAATTTCTCATATTATAAATACAAAAATGATACATGCCCTAATATCAGTGAATATAAAGGAGCATATGGAAAGTAGTTGTCTCTTCATCCAGTTTTATACTGTGGAGTAACCAATGTTAATAGTTTGGTTATGTCCTTCTGCTTTGCTTGTATTTATTTAATTATATACTTTATCCCCTTTATAAACAACAAAAAAGAATCATACTACACGTATTTCTTTGCAGATTTCTCTTTTTACTTTATGGTATTCTCATTCCATTAACCTCTAGGCCAGGAGATACATATACATCCTTATATATGCATGTGTGTTTGTGTGTAGGATCAGGTCTTAAAAGTAGGATTAATGGGTCTATGGTAGGCACATTTTACATTTTAAAGTACTTTTTTTTTTTTTAAAGATTTTATTTATTTATTTCACAGAGAGAGACACAGCGAGAGAGGGAACGCAAGCAGGGGGAGTGGGAGAGGGAGAAGCAGGCTTCCCGCGGAGCAGGGAGCCTGATGCGGGGCTCGATCCCAGGACGCTGAGATCGTGACCTGAGCCAAAGGCAGACGCTTAACGACTGAGCCACCCAGGCGCCCCTTTAAAGTACTTTTAAAAAAAAGATTTATTTATTTATTTTAGAACGAGCACAAGTGGGAAGGGTAGAGAGGGAGAGGGAGAGAAAATCTGAAGCAGGCTGAGCGTGAGCCCGAGACCACAGGTTGAGCTGAAACCAAGAGTCAGATGCTTAACCAACTGTGCCACCCAGGCACCCCATTTTAAAGTACTTTTTATCAGTACAGTTGACACTTGAACAATGTCAGGGTTAGGGGTGCCAACCCCCTGCTCAGTCAAAAATCTACATACAACTTTTGACTCCCCTAAAACTTAACTAATAGCCTTCCGTTGACCTGGAGCCTTCCTGATAACATCAATAACATCAACAGTTGATTAACACATAGTTTGCGTGTTATGGGTATTATATACTGTACTCTTACAATAAAGTAAGCTAGAGAAAAGAAAATATTATTAAGGGGGCACCTGGGTGGCTCAGTCAGTTGAGCATCTGACTCTTGAATTCAACTCAGGTCATGATCTCAGCGTCATGAGATCAAGCCCCATGTGGGCTCCATCCTCAGTGGGGAGTCTGCTTGAGATTCTCTCCCTCTGCTCCTCCCCCCTACCCCCATGCGCTCTCACGCACACACACTCTCTCTCTCTCAAAGAAATAATAGTCTTAAAAATAATAAGGAATAATCTTTAAAAATTCATAAGGAAGAAAAAATACAGTTGCAATTATACTGTATTGAAAAAATCCGTGTTATTAGTGGACCCGTGTATTACAAACCTGTGTTACATAAAGGTCAACTGTATTTCATTATGCAATATTACCATTTATTTGTATAACTGAGAAATCTTAAAACTTTTTTTTTTTTAAGATTTTATTTATTTGAGAGAGAGTGAGAGAGAGCATGAGAGCCGGGTGGGGGCAGAGGGAGAAGCAGACTTCTCGCTGTGAGCAGGGAGCCTGATGTGGGGCTTGATGTGGGGCTGGATCCCGGGACCCTGGGATCATGACCTGAACCAAAGGCAGCTGCTTAACTGACTGAGCCACCCAGGTACCCCTTAAAACTTTTTTTAATATTAGTCAATTTATATAGGAATTCAGTTATGTAATTAATAGGGGAATAAGTAGTAGTTAGGAAACATGATTTTGGTTCCTAACATTTATCTTAGAAAATGTTTTTAAAGAATTTGTCTATAATTATTTTAAATGCAGCTCAAGAATTGTGAAGTCTTACCTTCGTGGAAATTAGAAGATAATTAGAATAGGAGATATAGGTTCTTTGTCATGTGACAGGTATTCACATAGTTGTTGAATAATAAATAAATGAATATAAAGTAGATTAAGATAAGGACTATTAATACAGGTATAAGAGTCCCAGACTGAGAGCCTTCAAGGGCAGGGACTCTGTCTTAAATTCTGTATCCCTATGCCTGGCCTATTGCCCAACATTTGTAGAATACGGAATCTAATTCTCTGTAGCAGGATTGTAGAAGATTTTTTTAAGAAGACACTGTTTGCATTGACACTGAGGAATGACATTGGCAGGAGTTTCGGAGGAAAAGTATTCATTCAACATGTACTTATTGAGTATTTACTGTGTACCCAGTACTCTTCAAGGCACTGATTTGGAACAAATTCTTATGGGATTCGCATGGAATTTTTCATTTGTTGACATCCCAAGCTGAAGGGAAAGACTCAGTGGCAGAAGGTTTAGGGGACAAGTCTAGGCACCTGTTTTGCGTAGAGCAGTGTTTCTAGTTTTTTTTCTTTTTAAATGTGTTCTTCAGAGCCTGAGGGTTCCTAA